GCATCATACAGAGATTAACGAGTTTTTGTTTTATTTGTACTTTTTTAATAAGCCTTTTCTTGCTTGCATAAATAATTTCTTAAGTGTTTTCAGTGTGATGCAAACATTTGATGGTTACTGACCCTGTTTTAGATCAGATCACATCCTAATAATGACCAGGGTCACTGAAACCACTTGGAGATGTGAAACATTTTGTGTAAGAAGAATGTTGAACATGCATGATGAACCACAACCTCGTGCAGACGAAACTGAAGCTGTCTGAGCTTAATGCAAGAGAACTGAGCATCATTCCAGTGTCCTGTGAGGCCTGGATTCTGGGTGGAAGTCCAATTAGCTGCAGTCAACTGAGGAGGTCTGCAACACGTGACCTTCAACCTTACAGAGGTCGCTTCCAGCAGGTTGAGACCACCAGACAGATCTGGTGTGTGTGTGCTGCTCCAATGACAGAACAGTTGGTATGAAGGGCAGCCACCACAGGCCAGGTCACACACCCTTCAATAACTCACTGTCATATCACGCACACAGAAACGTCTGACTAATTAGCTCTGAAATGTCTTCCAGATTGTATTCTCCCTGTCTTCACCTGTGTGTGTGTGTGTGTGTGTGTGTGTGTGTGTGTGTGTGTGTGCGTGCGTGCGTGCGTGCGTGCGTGCGTGCGTGCACAGGGTGATTCTCAGGGAGAGCGGCCTGGCCCGGTACCTCCACTCGGCAGTGCTGTTAAGCGGCACCATCCTGGTGTTTGGAGGAAACACACACAATGACACATCTCTAAGCAACGGAGCCAAGTGTTTCTCTGCTGACTTCCTGTCGTACGATTTAGGTAAGAACGAGTCCTGAAGACAGAAGAAGGAAGGTTTTCTCTGCTTTCACTTGACTTTGCTGTGTCTGGACACCTCCAGCTGCTGTTGGGGGTGCTGGATGTGTCACCATTTGGATTCTGTGTCAAACAGCTTCAAAGTTTTGTTTGTTGGATTTGATGATTCTGAATTTACTCTCAGTATATTTAATAAACTTTGTGAGTTATTGAGAACCACGACTGGGATTTGACCCGGCGACCCTCTTGCTGAGAGGCAGCAGCTCATCTGGATGGTTTCTTTTTTTGCTGAGATGTTTCTTCCTTCATCCAAAGGACTTCTTCAATCTGAGGAGCCAGCCATCAATCCAAAGTGATTCACAGAAACAGCATACTTCATAGTGGGGAAAAATAACAGTTTGCTGGTGGCAAGATGGCCTCCAAGGCCTGTCCTCTCCCCACTATGGAGTATGCTGTTTCTGTGAATCAGTTTGTTTGGTGGGCTCCTCAGACTGAAGAAGTCCTCTGGATGAAAGACAAAACATCTCAGCAAAAAAAGAAACCATCCAGATAACCTGCCTGAACATTGTTGGATTTTTACCTGGATTATTGAGCATGAACTTTAGTTGGTTCATGTCAGATTGAATAAAAACGGACAGCAGAGAATGACTTCTATATTTAAAAGTTTATCCTGGATTCTCCTTATTAACAAATGTGTTTTTATTTTTTCCCTTTTGTCTTTGCTGTTGGGAGACATCTCATTTGTTAAATAAAACAAGTCATATTTGGCTTTTGTTTCTGTTTTCTTGTTATAACATAGCAAAGTTTGACTTAGGTCATGTCCCTAGTGGATGGTGTGAGTGGGTTCTGTTCATGAAAGAGTCATGTTAGGTTCACAGGTAACTCTTTTAAAGGTCCTGAGGTGTGAGTGAAAGTGTGAATGGTTGTTTGTCCTTTTTTTTGTCCCTATGATGGACAGATGACATATCCTGGGTGTCTACTTCATCACGTACAGTGACTGCTGAAGATCGACACCAGCTTCCCCTCGACCCTGTATAGAACAGAGGGTAAACAATAAAGAATAAGAAGGAAGGAGCATGTTGTTGTGGTGTAGTCAACAGATAATATAAAGTCAAAGGCTCTGACAGACAAGAAAAAGAAGAAGAGCAGTGAGAGGCTGCAGGGCCTGCAGTGAAGGTAGAGTACAGATGATGAAGCATCCCATCACTGGGTACCCAGAGAGATCATAGAGCAGATGGTGTGGGCATGTTTGCACCACTTGACAGAGATGGGCAATCATTGGAAGACAGAACCACTGGTAGAGGAAGAGAGAAATGACACCAACATTTCATTGGAGGAAAACATAAGGAAGCAGGGAGATTATAGGAAACAAGATAAATATTTATTCAGAAAGAGGCAGAATAAAATCAGGTCTGAACAGGAAATAGAAAAGAAGACTTTGTAAAGATGCTTCCTGTTTTTTCTATATGTTCTTCAACCATCCTGAGGTTTGATGGCCTGAATGTGTGACACCTTGTTGGCGTGTTTCATTGCTCCAATCTCAAATAAAAAGTATTATTGCATGTCTTTACATCCTGTAATTCTAGAAATAATCGGTTTCAGCTGGCTCCTGTTCACTACATTAAATTATCTGATCTAAGGTCAGGCAAAGGACACGTTATTCTTAATATCTTAGTTTACATTGTTTGTTATGTTAAATCTGTCACAAAACATTATGGGATCTAAGAGGACTTTAGTTGAGCTCGAAGTGTGAGATAGATAAAAAAAAAACCCAGTTTTGGCTCTTTTGTGTCCTGGGCTCATCCGTTTCCTGCTGGATTCAGGTGAGCAGTTTGCAGACGTAAAGTATCGTTTTTCGAACAAATGCTGCAGCATAGGTGGAAGAAAACATAAAAAAAGCTTCTTCTTTTTGTCGTAGGAGGTCTAAAGTGACTTCAGCTGTTTGCTGTGAATTACAGCTGCGTGCAGACCAGAGTGTGTTTGGAGCAGCTTATGTGTAAAACCTGATCAGAACCTTCAGAATCGGAATAAGCTTTATTATCCTTGCACCGAAGTACAGTGAGATTATATTTGTACAGTCGTCCAAAAGATGGGCGTTGTGCACGTTGCTGCTGCTCCTAAGAGTGCGGCCCTTATTCTTTTGAAAAAGATGGAAAAAGGGGAAAGGCCATCACATGTGTCTCAGCGGGGCATGAGGGTTCTCCAAGACCCTGTTGCTTGGTTGAAAAAATGTTATCAACTGCTTTGAAAGTCCAGCTAACCAGATCCATGTCATTAATTTACGATTCGAAAGAGGTGTAAATAGAAGCTCCCATACACAGAACAGAGAGAAAAACAAGCAGGAGGGAGACGGGAGAGGGAAGAAAAATGCATCCGTCCTGATCGAGAGCAAGTGAGGAAAAACAAAAACTGGTTTTAAATGAAAAGCTTTTTATTGCACGTCTTAAATTTATTTTAAGAAAAAAAAGATTTTCTTTAATGTGAATTAAGTAATCAAAGTTTCAGGTTGCAAGGATGCAGATAAAAGCAGCAAATGAAAGGAGCAGAGTTGTGAAAAAATAAAAATAAATAAAACGAGGATTCAAGGAGATTAAAGAAAGAGCTCCATACCACCGAGAAAAATCCTGGAGAAATGCAGGTGTGCCATAACAGCTGAAAACAGATAAATCAAAGGTGATACATAAGAAACAAAATGTTCTCTATGCAGACTTTTTACTCTTCCGCAGAATCAAATCAGGATGTTTGTTTGTTTATTAGACAAAAACTAAGTCAACATTGAAAAGCTGAATCCAGTCCTGCTCCTTGCTCAGGGGTGCTGCTGATCAGATGTATTGATTAACTGATCGTCAACAGTGTGATCACCTCTGTTAAAGCATGAGTTTAATCAGTTGGCTGCGCTGGAGCTGACAGGTGTGTTAATACATGTCAAGATGGAATGGCATCAGCAATGACCTCAGAGAGCCAGTTGTCGGTTACCATCAATCTGAAAAGAGTTAAAAATTATTTTTGAAATTGTTTTCAATCCATCATTCTTCAGATTATTAATAAACAGAAATCATTTATCTCTGGGCTGTCAATCTTCCAAGCAAATTCACCTCAAGGTCAGACTGTGCAATGTGAAATGACCAAGAAGAAAAACAAGAGCTTCTTCTCAGACTCTACAGGTCACAGTTGGCAAATAAAAGGTTAAAGGTCATGAGAGGACAACTGGATAAACACTGAAGAAGTATGACTTGGTTGGAAGTGCTGGGGGCTCTAAAAAGAAACTTAAAAGTCTTCATGTTGTAAAGGTGCATCTAAAGGAACCACAGGACTTCTGGAACAATGTCCTATGGACAGATGGGACCAGAGGATAGATGTTTACTCATAGTTAACAGCTCTGAAGAAAAACCAACAGCATATCAGTACAAACACCTAAAACCAACTGACAAGCTTGGTGGTGGAGGGTTGATGATTTGGGCTGGATTTGCAGCCACAGGACCTGGACTCCATGCAGTGGACTTGGTCTCCCTGCAGTGAACCTGGACATCCTGCAGTGGACCTGGGCTCCCTGCAGTGGATCTGGGTTCCCTGCAGTGGACCTGGGTTCCCTGCAGTGGACAAGGGCTCCCTACAGTGGACCTGGGATCCCTGCATTGGCCCTGGGCTTCCTGCAGTGGACCTTGGCACCCTGCAGTGGACCTGGCCACCCAGCAGTGGACCTTGGCTCCCTGCAGTGGATTTGGGCTCCCTGCAGTCACCCTTGGCTCCCTGCAGTGGACCTTGGCTCCCTGCAGTGGACCTTGGCTCCCTGCAGTGGATTTGGGCTCCCTGCAGTCACCCTTGGCTCCCTGCAGTGGACCTTGGCTCCCTGCAGTGGATATGGGCACACTGCAGTGGATATGGGCACCCTGCAGTGGACATGGGCTCCCTGCAGTGGACCGGGGCTCCCTACAGTGGACCTGGGCTCCCTGCATTGGCCCTGGGCTCCCTGCAGTGGACCTTGGCACCCTGCAGTGGACCTGGGCACCCAGCAGTGTA